TAAGTGTGACCTTGACCTTTGACCTGGTTCATGTGCGCGACACTGCTCCTCATAGTGGTGAACATTTCTATGAAGTTTCATTAAAATCCCTCCATACATGTAGGAGATATGCTCCGGACAAAATTGGACGCCGAACGCCCGCCCGCCCGCCAGGGGCGTTCCCATAATAATTCAAACGGGCGTCCGTTTTTCAAACGGGCGTATAAAAAATACTTGGATGTTGCACAATTGCAACAAACGGATTGAGACACTGATATGGGATTTAATATGAGTAATTATAAACTCCGAGGCAGGATCGAGCTCCACCTCATTTTCTCCTGTCTAAGCTTATCTTGATCAAAAACATTTTAGCAAGATTTTGCTTAAGCTATGCTGTTCATTTTATATTTTTACTCATGCGATACGCCCCTGTTTGTTTATCCTGATTCTCATGCTCAGTTATTTCTGGATCTGAATTGTTAAAAACCACACATTTTCTTCCGATATATCTAATGAAAGACATTGTTCTTATATTTCGTACCAGCTGAATGTGTCGCTGTTACAATTATCATTATTATTCATTTTATATACATTTAATATATGTGGTATTATAATTCATGTAGTAATTAAAGAAATATAAGTCTTTTATAATTCTTTTTAGAATGGTCATTTAAGTTTTATAATTATATTATTTGTTTTATTTTGTTAACATGTATACATTGCCGTAATGTATGTATTAAGTGAATGAGACTGAAATAAACAAACAAATAAATTCTTGTAAATAAAGTTCTCATATTGATATCCCTAAAAATGATAATGAACAGTTCCGAAAATGGAAGGTGGATTATTCCATTTAAGAAATTCAGCAGATTAAAGGTTAATTAATCAAGTTGTGTTTATAAGTTTTTATTTCCTTGTCATTAAATTTTAAATGCGCCTAGCTTGAATTTGAATAGTTAATGTGGTTGACTGATGTTTTGTACATTTTATTCGCTTCAAATTTCTTTTTGCACAAAATTTACAAAATTTTTCACTAATGAGAGGTACATAAACCAAACAAGTGTTTTGCTTGGTGTAAACAATGCTTTCTATGACCTTTATCACTTTCCTCATTATTTACAGAGGACACGTGTGCTTTTTTGTTTGTTAAACAAACGATAAAGGTTCATTTGTAGTCTAGCTCTCATTATACAATGTCGTCGGCTATAAAATTTGAAACTTTGGAGGCGGTCAAAGCCGCCACAGAGAAAGCCGAAAGCGAAAAAATGGCTTTCACAACCAGTGAACTTACACTGAAGTTTGAGCTGCCACAGGAGGCAGAAATTATCAGGAAGTGGTGCAAAAGCAAAGGAGTAAAATATTCCTCAGAATAAGGTAAGATAATTAACTTTAGTTATTTTATTTTGCTTTTTTTTATTTATTTTCTCCGTTTCTAACAATTTTCCTTTATATTGAAACGTAGGATCTATTGACTCAAAATATCTAATCAGTGTTGTTTCTTAATGTAAGATGACATGCCTTACATGCATATTTGTATTGTTTGTTAAGGTTCATTTAAATAAGTGCTCACACAATTTAAACAAGAGGGCCATGATGGCCCTGGGGTCGCTCACCTGTACATAAGCCCCCAGGGCCAGTTTAAACCAAAGGGCTTTTATTTGAACAAACTTGGAAGACACCCATTAGAAGATGTTTCATGATGTTAAGTTTTTACTAGACACAAATAATGAAAAACAATGACTTTTGCCCCCCCTCCCCCTGGCAGGGCCAATTTTAACCCAAGGGCTTTTATTTGAACAAACTTGGTAGAAACCCATTAGAACATGTTTCATGCTAAATATCTTAGCTCTTTTGGTTCTTTAAAAGAAGATTTTTAAGTTTTTAATTACTATATGCAATATAGGGAAAATCAATGACCCCCTAGGGCAGGGCCAATTTTGACCCAAGGGCTTTTATTTGAACAAACTTGGTAAACATCCATTAGAACATGTTTCATGCTTAATATCTTAGCTCTAGCTCTTAGGGTTCTTTAATAGAAGATTTTTAAGTTTTTACTCTATATGTATATAGGGAAAATCAATGACCCCTGGGGCGGGGCCAATTTTGACCCCAGGGCTTTTATTTGAACAAACTTGGTAGACACCAATTAGAAGATGTGTCATGTTAAATATCTTAGCTCTAGCTCTTTGGGTTCTTAATTAGAATTTTTTTTAAGTTTTTACAACATGTATATAGGGAAAATCAATGACCCCTGGGGCTGGGCCAATTTTGACCCCAGGGCTTTTATTTGAACAAACTTGGTAGACACTCATTAGAAGATGTTTAATGCTAAATATCTTAGCTCTAGCTCTTTGGGTTCTTTAAAAGAATTTTTTTTAAGTTTTTACTATAAGCATATAGGGAAAATCAAAGACCCCCTGGGGCGGGGCCAATTTTGACCCCAGGGCTTTTATTTGAACAAACTTGGTAGACACCCATTAGAAGATGTTTCATGCTAAATATCTTAGCTCTAGCTCTGGGTTTTTTAGAAGAAGATTTTTTTAAGTTTTTACTATATGCATATAGGGAAAATCAATGACCCCCTGGGGTGGGGCCAATTTTGACCCCAGGGCTTTGATTTGAACAATCGTGATAGACACTCATTAAAAGATGTTTCATGCTTAATATCTTAGGTCTAGCTCTTTGGGTTCTTTAAAAGAAGATTTTTAAGTTTTTAATTACCATGTGCATTATATAGGGAAAATCAATGACCCCCTAGGGCAGGGCCAATTTTGACCCAAGGGCTTTTATTTGAACAAACTTGGTAAACATCCATTAGAACATGTTTCATGCTAAATATCTTAGCTCTAGCTCTTAGGGTTCTTTAATAGAAGATTTTTAAGTTTTTACTCTATATGTATATAGGAAAAATCAATGACCCCTGGGGCGGGGCCAATTTTGACCCCAGGGCTTTTATTTGAACAAATTTGGTAGACACCAATTAGAAGATGTGCCATGCTAAATATCTTAGTTCTAGCTCTTTGGGTTTTTTAAAAGAAGATTTTTAAGTTTTTACTCTATATGTATATAGGGAAAATCAATGACCCCTGGGACTGGGCCAATTTTGACCCCAGGGCTTTTATTTGAACAAACTTGGTAGACACTCATTAGAAGATGTTTCATGCTAAATATCTTAGCTCTAGCTCTTTGGGTTCTTTAAAAGAATTTTTTTAAAGTTTTTACTATAAGCATATAGGGAAAATCAAAGACCCCCTTGGGCGGGGCCAATTTTGACGCCAGGGCTTTTATTTGAACAAACTTGGTAGACACCCAATAGAAGACGTTTCATGCTAAATATCTTAGCTCTAGCTCTTTGGGTTCTTAATTAGAATATCTAAGCTCTAACTCTTAGGGTTTTTTAAAAGAAGATATTTAAAGTTTTCTCTTTCGGTTGCCATGGCAACCAGAGTTCTGCATGGAATTAAATTCTTTGAACAATTTTTAAAGGTGACCACCAAAGGAACATTCCTGTGAAGTTTGGATGAAATTGGCTTAGTGGTTTATGAGGAGATGTCATTTAAAGTAAAAGTTTACGGACGACGGACGGACCGACGCCGGACGAAAAGCGATCACAAAAGCTCACCCTGTCACTTTGTGACAGGTGAGCTAAAAAATCATACTTTCTTCACCGGAATCAGAGGCGCGGAAAACTCTGCTGATAGAACTTGAAAACAGAGGAAACTTTGAACATAATGTAAAAGTAGGTGTTTTTTACCTTGAGCCAATACTTGACGTTTTTCCAGATATTCTAAAAAGCTACCGCTAATATTTAAATTTTGTTCTTTTACTTTACAGGTAATCGAAAACGGTGAGGGACAATTGGTTGTCGCAAGAAGACCCAACATCAAACAGAGAGACAAATATGTTGCATCAGACTTTTTGCCATGTGAATATTGCTTTGGATTCTATGTAAGAGAAACCCTATGGCTTCATATCAATAATTGTCGATTAAAACCAAAGCAAAAACAGCCTTTTATGAAGAATTATTGCCGTGATGCAAAAATGATGCTTTCTCCATTTCTAAAGAAGCTTAACGAAGAAGACGCTTCGTTGGAAGCATTTTTTGCCAGGATGAAAGAAACAAAAGCAAATCCAGGAATCCCAATCCTTTGTAAAAATGATCAACTTATACAAGAATTTGCCAAGTCTATGATTCATCGCTTAGGGGAAGAAAGTGAACAAAGAGTGAAGGACCTAAAAAATATAGATAATGCAAGAACAAATTAGTTAGAACCGTAGGGAGGCTACTGAAAAGGTTGCATCAGGATACTGAAGTCCTAAGTCCTCTATCAGAATTCATAAATGGGAGAAATTTTTTGAAAGTAGTTGACGCTAGTAAAAGTCTAGCGTTAGAATGCGATTCTCCACAGTTAGCCCTTGCACTTGGCCACTACTTTAAACATATAGCGTTGCTAAAAGGAAGTATTGGAATTCAGGAGGAAAATACCCAAATTATAAACAAAGCGCGTGATTTTAAAGAATTATACAGCGCTCATTGGAATAACAGAGTCTCGCCTGTAGCAAAAAGAAGGCAAGATGAGACATATCAACAAGCCAGCAAGAATTCCATTGACATCAGACCTTATTAAGGTTAAAGAATGGATGGAAAAAGAGTTGAAGCTGATAACAAATATTCAGAATCCAACAAGAAGCGAGTGGGAAAGAGCAGCACGAATGACGATTGTAAGGATCGCGATGTTCAACAAACGGAGAATTGCAGAAGTTTCTGAAATGAAAGTGTCCGACTTTCTGCAGGCGGAACAAAACGACGAAGTGGACAGTGAGATATAAAACTCTCTGGATATGTCGGAGAAGATTCTCTCAAAACGGTTTGTCACTAGTACTTTTTTATTTCAGTAAACGAAAAATCTGACATCTAAATATTTATCAAATAATTTAATGAGAAAGTCCCCCCCCCAACAAGTTAGTGCTTAAATTTAAATACTATTTTGTGCAATGACAACATGTCTATTTCAGAATGAAAGTGAAGTGCGTGGCAAGTCTACCAGAGGTCTCCGGAAAGTTTGTGTACTTCTAACACCAGACATGATTGATGCATTGAAATACCTACAGAGGACTCGGAATAGTACCAATGAATTTTTGTTCTGCAGGTAATTGTTAATTGCAAAATTATGATGTGTTGTATCATTAAAATGATAAAATTCTACGCTTTTGTTACTCTATTGTTAAATGTATACATATAATATGCATTGAAGAATGTATCACTGATTTTGAATATAGCAGAGAGAAAGATGAAACTAGCATATGTTGATATAAACGTAATTTTCTTTAAATCCTTATTTCGATAAGAACATATTCCTGATTTTATAAACTGTTATTCCTCTAAGGCAAAGCGACAACACCCCAATTGATGGCTGCACTGCAATGAGAATAATCGCAAAGGAATGTCCAGGATTACAGGAACCAAGTAGAATACGAACAAGAGAAATGCGAAGGTATCTGGCGACAACAACACAGGTAAGTGATGTTATGAAACTATCGCGTTTTATAACAATAAAATATAACTGCTAAGCACAAATTACAATTATTAATAAGGAGGTAAAAAGTTGTAACTGTTCTTTTAATGTTGGAACAGATTCTCGATATGTCAGGGGCAGAATTAAAAATGGTTGCCGATCACATGGGACACAATGTCAACATTCACACAGATGTGTATCGTCTTCAAAGTTCTATCATCGAGAAAACTAAAGTGGCACATGTGCTTATGGCGATGGAAAATGGGAAAATCAGCAAATATCAAGGACAAAATCTTCAAGACATTTCACTTGAAGGTAATGTGTTACAAAATAACAAATGTATTACACGGCTCATAAAATCAAATCAAATCTACAATACCTTCAAAGTATCTGCATGTAAACAGGTGGTGGAGTCACGCGGTGGAGTCACGTGGTGGAATCACGTGGTGGAGTCACATGGTGGAGTCACGTGGTGGTGTCACGTGGTGGAGTCACGTGTTGGAGTCATCTGGTGGTGTCACATGGTGGAGTCACATGGTGAAGTCACGTGGTGGAGTTTACTTGGTGGTGTCACGTGGTGGTGTCATGAGGTGGAGTCACGTCCAGTCACATGGTGAAGTCATGTGCTGGTGAAGTCATGTGCTGGTGGTGTCACGTGCTGGTGACAAGGTCTTGTTCTTAAGTATGTATGTTCTGTTATAGATGAAGTTGATCCCTTCAATAATAGCAAAGTTACAGCCAGTTACAGCAAAAACAATGAAAAGGTCAAGGTCATTAATGAGTGAAGGTCAAGGTCTGTCTGTTTATTTTTAAGTGTTATCCTTGAAGATTATTGTGTTCAAGTTTGAAGACAATCCATTCAAAAATAACAAAGTTATAGCTAATAATAGCCAAAAAAATGAAAACTTCAATAATTTGGCCTTCATATTCAAGGTCATTTATGAGTGAAGGTCAAGGTCTGTCTGGTTATTTTTAAGGGATATCCTTGAAGATTATAATGTTCAAGTTTGAAGACAATCCATTCAAAAATAACAGTTACAGCCAATAACAGCATGAACAAGCAAAATTTGGACATTTAACCTTGAAGGTCAATGTTATTTATGGATGAAGGTCAAGGTTAGTGTGGTCTACTGAAAGGTCTTGTCCCAAGGGTTGTTGTGGCCAAGTTTGAAGACAATACACAAAGAAATAAACAAGAGGGCCAAGATGGCCCTGAGTCGCTCACCAGAAACAACTGCTTTTCAGTGTTGGAATGTCAATATATTCTAACATTAAATTTGAGCATAGAATATGTTTAAACAATAATTTGAAGAAATGCCATGACCTGGGGCATTTAAGCTTTAGCTTAAACGGGGCTAATCAAATTAATATGAGCAAACTTGATAAAAGACTACCTAAGAATGCTACAAAGTTTGGTGATCATCTATCAATTATTTCAGTAGGAAATGATGTTCGAAGGTTTTTTCTATTTTTAGCTTTAGTGGCCCCTAAAAGGGACCAATCAAATTAATATAAGCAAACTTGATAAAAGAGTATCCAAGAATGCTACAGATAAAGTTTGGTGATCATCCATCAATTGGTTCTGAAGTAGGAGATGTTTAAAGGTTTTTCTATTTTTAGCTTTAGCGGCCCCTAAAAAGGGGCCAATCAAATTAATATTAGCAAACTTGATAAAACACTACCCTGGAATACTGTTGACAAAAGTTGGTGATCATCCATCAATTACTTCTGTAGGAGAAGATGTTTAAAGGTTTTTCTATTTTTAGCCCTTGAGACGCCTTAAAGGGGCCAATCAAAATAATATTAGCAAACTTGATAATAGACAACCCAACAATGCTACAGACCAAGTTTGGTGATCATCCATCGATTAGTTCTCTAGAAATAGACATTTAACGGTATTTCTAGTTTTAGCTTTAGTGGCCCCTTAAAGGGGCCAATCAAATTAATCTGAGCAAACTTGATAAAACACTACCCAAGAATGCTACAGACAAAGTTTGGTGATCATCCATCAATTAGTTCTGTAGAAGAAGATGTTTAAAGGTTTTTCTATTTTTAGCCCTTGAGACCCCTAAAAGGGGCAAATCAAAATAATATTAGCAAACTTGATAATAGACTACCCGACAATGCTACAGACAAAGTTTGGTGATCATCCATCGATTAGTTACATTTAACGGTATTTCTATTTTTAGCTTTAGCGGCCCCTAAAAGGGGCCAATCAAATTAATATGAGCAAACTTGATAAAACACTACCTAAGAATGCTACAGACAAAGTTTGGTGATCATCCATCAATTAGTTCTGTAGGAGAAGCTGTTTAAAGGTTTTTCTATTTTTAGCCCTAGAGACCCCTAAAAGGGGCCAATCAAATTAATATGAGCAAACTTGATAAAAGACTACCTAAGAATGCTACAGACAAAGTTTGGTGATCATCCATCAATTAGTTCTGTAGAAGAAGATGTTTAAAGGTTTTTCTATTTTTAGCTTTAGAGACCCCTAAAATGGGCCAATCAAATTAATATGAGCAAACTTGATAAAAGACTACCCAAGAATGCTACAGACAAAGTTTGGTGATCATCCTTCCATTAGTTCTGTAGAAGATGGTTAAAGGTTTTTCTATTTTTAGCTCTGCTGACCCCTAAAAGGGGCCAATTGGAATGACATGAGCAAATTCAAGTGTGACTGTCACAGGGATGCTACAGACCAAATTTGAAGTAAATCAGGCTGTCAACCAGGTCTTATCCAAAATATAGGAGGAATATAGGAATATTTTAGCAGGAAATATAGGAGTTTTTGGACCATTTTGAGGCAAAAAAATAGGAGTTTTCAACTTAAATTGTTTAACTTACCAATGCTTATATAAATGTAAATTATTCTTACTTTTACACATGCTGTTTCTACAATAAAATGCCTACCCTATAAGTGAAGGAAACCATTAGCAGGCTGTCCAGCACCTTCCGACATAAAATTAGGGCGAATTTTACGGTAATATTTCAGAAATTTTAGGGCTAAAATTAGGAATTTTAGGGTACATAAAAGAAATTTTAGGGCTAAAATTTGCAATTTTATGACTAAATAAACTAAGGTCCCAAAAGACCATGATGTGGGCTAACCTTTGCATATTTGACACAAAAGTAACTCACAAATAATGCTCTAGTTGAGTAATAGAGCAAAGGTGCTACCAGTGTGGACTCACTGGTCAACTGCCTCCCCTGCGGAAATGGTCATAGTCAAATCATGTTCAAACCATATTTTTTAAAATGGCTGAACATGTCAAAAAGAACATGTTCTTCCTATGTTTTGAGAATTTTATAACCACAAGGGTCTAAAAGGAATTCTTACACAGTGAAATTCTTGCACAATACAGCTTTTGAGTCATAATTATGGACAAATGAAATTTTTTATAAAGGTAGGTAAAAAGTAAAAAGGCATTTGCCTTATTACAGTCATTTGAATAAATTTATCAACACAAAGAATTGCACATAAAAAAAGTTCATCACACAGACCATTCAATTGCAGTTTATCTAGATCACATAATTACAAAATGTGTGTACATTGTAATTGGAAATGAGCTTTATATTACTGAACTGCCAAATTATTTTGAGTGTGATTAATTATATGAGTCTTCCTTTCCTAAAATGCACCATATGAATGAAAGACCGCCTCCGTGGTCGAGGGGTTAGAGTCGATGACTTCTAATCCAGTTACCTCTCTGGCGTGGGTTCAATCCCCGGGAGATGCTTTGGTAGTTTAGCACGGAGGAAGGTAGTCTAGTACTGGTGTAACTCTCCAGGAACGATGGTTAGGAAACTACCCGCCTATATGACTGAAATACTGTTGGGAAAAGGCGTAAAATGAAATAAACAAACAAACAAATATGAATGAAAGAACAAGAACTGAATGAAATTGATAACTTTGTGGCAAAATAAGCAATTTCTCCTACAAAGATACGAAAAGAATAAATAAGTATGAGGGAAAGAATTAATTTTTCAAAGTCTATGTTAACCCATTCAGTACTTTACAATGTTTTTTTTGATATCATTCAGATTTAAATAAAAGAGTTGTGAGTAAACAAATTGTTCATTAATTTTTGACAACTATTTAAACACGTTTTTAATATAGATTTTGTAACAACAGCTTCATAATGATCATTTTCAAATATGATATGATACAAATGGACCACTTCAGAAATTTGGATAAAATGAACAAACATAAAATTCAAGATATCTGGAGTTGGCAAAACAGTGTCAAAATATTCCAGAATAAGTGGACTCTTATGGTTATGATTTAAGTTTCAGGACAATGATATGGTAGTGTTTTTGCTGTTAACTGTCAACATGATTATCAACAAATGCTTTGATTATGAAATAGCAATGTTACTGACATAGTCAAAGTAACTTTTAGTTGAAACGAAACCATTTCAATGTCATCAATTTTGAGTTGGCAAAGCATGGCCAAATCATTTTTGACAATGTTCAAACCATGGTTGACTTTGAGTTATGTTTACAGGGTTACACGTTATAAGTATGTTTAGTACAAAAGTAAAAATATTAGGAATTTCAGTGAAAAAATAAGGCATTTTTAGAAATTCCCTTCGAATTTTTCACTTTTTTAGGAATTTAAGGGATGCTGGACAGCCTGCATTAGCATTGAACCACAGCATCAGCAGAAAGTTACAGCAATGCATGACCATCATCTGAATGGTCACCTGAAATAAAGTTGACAAACTGATGCACTGCTTTTCATGGTGACAATGCAGATGGCTATATGGAGCTCAGCAGCCTTGAGCATATAAGTAATGTGATGCTGATGCAGGCATACACATTCTCTTACCTGTCAAATACAAAAGTCCAAAAGCAGTACCAAAATTTAAATCTTTTTGAATTCCTCGGCAATATATTTTAAAAAAAATATAGGAAAAATATTCAAAATATAGGAGAATATAGGAAAAATAGGAGGTTTTTTAAAATATAGGATTTCGACCCAAAATATAGGAGTTTTATAGGAATTGGTTGACAGCCTGAGTAAATCTGCCCAGTAGTTTCAGAGAAGAAGACTATTGTTGACGCATGACGACGGAGCATCCCCCTTTGATACTAATAGCTCACCCTGAGCCTTCGGCTCCGGTGAGCAAAAAAGTTATGATCCAGGTACAAGTTTGCGGACGGCAACGGCACCGGCACCGCTGCCGCGACTATAGCAATACCTCTACTTTTTAAAAAAAAAAAAAAAAAAGTCGAGCTAATAACAAGGGTGAAACCCAGGGCATGGAAAAACACAACACTTATTACTAATAATTATTTATATTTTTCAAATTATAATATTATAAAGAGTAACATCATTGGCAATGACAGAGGATACTTCAATAAGTTAAAAAAAATTCTGACATCTTGATTTAGCAATACAATTTAATCAAATGTATTTATTAGTTTCTTTTTTTAGGGTTGATGACTTTGCTGAGCAGCCAAGACCCAACCTTACAGATGGGTCTGATCCAAGCACCGCCACACCTTTAGATTACTTCTGGTTGATGTTTCCTTTTGAACTGCTATGGAAACTGGTTTGTTACACAAATGCGTATCCCATATGGAAGATTACAGTACAGGATTCTTTTGATGATAAATCGGTTGATGTCACCAACCCAGAGATGAAAGTTTACCTTGGCATCAACATTCTTATGGGCATCAATGAACTCCCAGAAGCTGACATGTACTGGTCAGCAGATCTGTTTATAGGAAACAGTGGGGTTCAACAAGCCATGACCTGTAACCAGTATCAGAAGATCAACCAGTATTTCCATGCTTCTGATCAGGCAGCCGAGCCAAGGCGTGTTCACCAAGGTTACGACAAGCTATACAAAGTCCCAGATGTCATCACTGCCGTGTCTGAAGCTTTTTATCATGGATATACATTATTACGTTTGATTGCAGTGGATGAAGCGATGATTAAGTTTAGGCGGTTAGTTGTTTTGGTCACCAAGACAACTGCACAGAGCATAGCTTTGGTTACAACATAGTGGTGAACCTGACAGACCACATCCAAAACACATTTCACTGGGTCTTTTTTGACATTTTGACAAGTATGCCACAGCTCCAGCGCCTACTTGACTATGGACTATACGCATGCGGAACTGTCAGAGTTAATAGAGTTGGGTTTCCTAAGGACTTGAGGAAACCGCGAGAACTTACTAACCGTGGGGACTTCAAGATTCTTCAGCATAGTGACACCAACCTTACAGCTTCGTCAGGCCCACACAGTGTTTGCCTACAATAAGTTTATGGATGGAGAGGACTTACACAACCAATTCAGAGCAAAATATAGTGTTGCTCTAAAAAGTGGTGGAAGTATTTCTTTAGTTTTGCCTCAACTGTGCTATAGTGAACGCTCATATTATTTACAAGGCCATATCAACCAGATCAGCAAAGAAGAAGCGCTTCAACCAGTTAAGAGTTTAGGCAGGAACTTCTTCGTTCACTATTTGGCAGATTTTCAAAAAGGAAACATACTACTGGCGACGTCGATTTCAGACCACTGGTTGACACACGGAACATTTCTGGTCATGTGAATGCTAGGATGCCTGGGGCCAGGACAACCTGCAAAGATCACAGTAGTCAACTGAATGTAAGGAGGGACACATAATATGGATGTGCTTTTTGTAATGTTCACTTGTGCAAAGAGTGTCATTTACATTACCACTCCTTGACAGCAGCATAGTGTGACTAAAAATATGGAATTAAATTAAAATGAACTTTTGAGTGTTTCAAAAATATTGCAAAAAAATTACTAGTGACAATTAAGGCCCCACGGTTACACGTTTAAACAAATTTGTTTTGATTTTCATACATATGGGTCCTTCGTTACATTGATAACAAACATCATGCGCATGCTTGCTAGTCCTTAAGTTGACTAGTCTAGGTTAAGTCAGGGTTAAATACAGCTCCTGGTGGACCTTTTGTCGCGGCCAATACTGCCATTACTTTAATATATATTTTATAAATAGTGTTGTTTTAAAACTTACTGCTGAACATTCCTTGTAACATGTAGGTTTGAATTAAGTCTGAATAAATTCTGTTAATTATTGTGTTTTGCTTCTTACAGTCATAAAATAATTTATGACAAGATATTATGAACATTTATAATGCTATATATATATATATACTAGTCTTAATTAACAATCATTTCCTTGAGTTTCAGGTTTGTTCTTTACACTTTGCTGATGGCAAGCCAAAAGGGAAAAATCCAGCGCCAACTGTGAACATGGGTTACAATGTCACCTGTGTTACCCCTCTCAGATGACCCCTTGTTTTAAAAAGAATTACATGTTACACATACAGAAGAAAAGAAACGGCAGAAAACATCAGGATCTGGAAATGGATCACCACCCAAGCAACTTTTTGCTACAAAAATACTATTTGAGCAATTGTTGAAATTTGACATGATCAGTGTAGCTCTGCTTGCTGAACATTTAATCCTGATGAGTGTCTAAATAAGCCAAAAATGGTAGACTGTAGTACCCAAACAATTGACATAGTTGCTTTAGACCAGAATTATCAATATAGTTAAGGAACAAGAAATGCTTCCTGTCAAGAAAATCAGGACAGTATATCAACAGACTCTGGTGCTAGGTTTTATACAGGCCTTAGTTTGAAAGTGATGCTAACTCTTACAAAAACTCTGTCAGAGTATGGCAAAAAATTGCCACATAAACTGGATATATATATCTACAAAATACTTGCAGTGCTGGTCAGAATAGGACTAGAGCTAACATTCCATGATCTTGCAAGATGACTTAGTGTATCAACACAGTAAATGAGCAATATCTACAGTTCATGGGTAGACATAATGGCAAGACAATAGTGTAATTTGGGATGCCAAGAGAAACATTATGCCAAACGTTGCCATTGTCATTTAAAGATACATTTCCAAACAACACTTGTATGATAGATTGTTAGGAGATTTTTATTCAGCGGCCCTTTCGTTTAAATGTTCGAACCAAAATTTGAGCACTTACAAAACAATAATACAGCTAAATTTCTAATTGCTCCAAGTGGATTTATCATGTTTTTGTCTTCTTTATATGGTGGTCGTGCTAGTGATATTTACATCACAAAAAAGTGGGTTTCTAAACTATTAGCGTCCAGGTGATGAAGTTATGGCAAACAGGGGCTTCACTATAAGTGAGGAACTATGTGCAATACGAGTTAAGCTTAACGGTCCTATTATTACTTTCAAGACAATATCTTAAGCTTCAAAGTTAAAAAATTAGGAACTTTCAACGTTCGCATGACCCGTGCCATGTCAATTGTAAACAAAATACCTGCACTATGAACACATTCCTCTTATGTACAGTAAAAGAATATTTACAGTTAAGTTCAAAATATGTATTCTAATTTTAATACTTACGTATTTCTTCATGAACTTTCTGCATATTTTTGTTATAAAGTCTGAAGTTATGAATATGCTAATTGTCATTTACCTAAGGAGGTGCTTTGTTTCAGTAACACAGGTCTGGGAGTGTCACATAACAAATTAATTGTGGCGATCAATTTATCGATTATTTTATCGTCTATAATAAAAGCAAGTCAAAAAGGGGCATAACTAAATTGTAAAGTTACCACCTTTTTGAAATTTCTTTTAAAATCTAAAAGTGAATAATAGTGACTAATAGTGAATAAAAGTAAGTACCTTTCATAGTTTTCGAGAAACAGCCCTTCTTATCATAAAGGTTAAGAAGGTAAAAAAAATTAGGTTTAAACGATACCATTTCGTCAATCTTTGACTTTTACTAAAAACTAAAATTAAAACTGAGTAGCCTCCAGTATTGAGTCTTGTCAGACTGAGAAAATGGCCTTCTTATTTTTTCTTATCATCATAAGGCAGAAATAATTAAGCAAATTTAGCTATTCAGGTGAAATGATTCAATCAAATGTAACATATATACAGAATAACCTCTGTAGAGCCATAACCTCTTTCCAACAGCAGAACTGATTCTTCCCAAAGTAAGACTTTAACAGTTAATTTAACCTTTATAGAGCAAACACCTCTCTACAACAACTAAAATCTTTGTCTTCCAAAGGGTGTTGCTCTCTGAGGTTGTACTGTATACACAATATTCTATTTACACAACATGAATAGAAACAGTACCAATACTTCACAATTTATATCAAACATTCCTTTATGTGTATACATCATTGTAACATCCATTTGTTTTACTTTAGTGCTACTAGTACAATACTAAGACTTATTTGTGACTTTAAGTGACTTTGAGTTCAAAGTTATTCAACATTCTACAAATAACAAGGACTTTTCACTGCCCAATACTGGCAATCATCCTATGTATCCTGAATACTGTATGTCAAAATTTCTTCTTATCAGAGACAGGAAGAGAGCTGGGATACAGACCAAACTGAACAAATCATTGTTCCCAAGTTTGTAACCCTTGTTCACAGAATAAGAAATAAACATTAAGAGTATGCATCTGATAATAAATCAAATGAATTAAACAGTATAAATTACGATAAAATCATACTGAAAATACTCCTTTTTTCAGTTGACGTCTTTACTCCAGCATTTACATACAAACACCATACCTTTCACAAAATTTATCAATTCTTACATTACATCAAAACTCTGTCAACCAAGTCTTTTTCGTCTTCTTTCCTTTCTTCTTTTTCTTCTTCCCCTCTGTCTCGTCCAGGAGGCTCGGAACCTCTAGGTTGAGGATGGCATGTCTGTCCTCTTCAAGTAGGAATGGGTAAGATATAACATTATGATCACCTATAGTGTCTTTGTAAAACAGTTGCTGTTCAGCTAGAGATAGGGCTGACTCTTTGGTTAACACATTTAAGGCAGACGGTTCCATTTCAACAATGCCTATCTGGTTATCGTTACACTGTAAAACAAAAATGTTTTAAAAGATAATTATTTACACACAAAAAAGCAAAAACAAAAAACACCTAGTAATATGGTTTCCATAATAAAAAGTATGTCAAACAACTTTTCACAAATATTTATTAAATGTAGCCCTTTTTTCTTTTGAAAACTTTTATAAATAAACCTTCTTCCCCTGAAAAAAAAGACATCCCTGTGTTTTTAATTGTTTTAATATTATAAAATTTCTGGAGCTAAATGAGCCTTTAAAATTGCAAAAAGTTCTTTCTTCAATCAATACTTCATCAAATAATTATTAATTTAATGTTACATGTTATGGCATTGAAGAGAAATTAATGGCAATTAAGTATAACTGATAAGTAAATGATAACTAAAAAGATAACTCACAAATATGTTTAATCTCAATGAAGCATCTGCATCAAGTTCTGGCCATCTCTGATCTAATACATGACCAGGCTGGAAAATGCAATATAAACATAGCTACACATCATGCAAGTACCAAAAATGGGTAATATTTGAGTTACGCCAATACAATTCAAATATACAACATTCTGAAACATTATCTAACATAGCATTTGGATATTTTTCAGTGTTATCAGTAAAAACTGTCATTTTGAAATATTCAACACAGATAGTAAATCAATTGATTTCCTCTTAAACTACTTAAACTAGCTTGATATATTTCTTACTTAAATAAGAAATTAAACAAACACTTTGAACAAATAATTTGAATAATTTGGAGGAATTTGGACAAAAGCCAGCTTTCAAAATTCAACTTGGCTTGTTCATTTGAAATAAAGTTATTTGTATTGTATATGGTATTGCTTTATAAGCTATATACCATTGAAACAATTAACTGAATAATTGAAGACCGATAACGCAATTATGATAAATTTTTCAGAAGTTATTTAGTATATATGTTAATTTCTAATATCCCCTTTCCATGTAACATTTGCATATCAAACTTGCCTAGCGGTCTGTTTGTATGTACTTCATAAAAGTTATGTAGTATTGAAATACTAAAACCGAGTAAAACTTGTTATACTACAAAATTGTGAAGCCTGGCCTGGTTAAAAGAAGACTGTATTGTTTGATTGTTTTTACGCCAATTTTAACACATTCTCATTGTCACGTCTCGGCAGTCAGTCAACCAAACCAGCTTTCCTGGATAACTAACCAGTAATTATCAACTTCTCCACAACTGACCAATTATTAGTCCTACATGATATCTAAATTAGCATTGAGAGACAAACATAATTCACTGTCACACTAGTTCTCGAAGAGTTTAACCCTAAATCTTCAAAAGTTGTTAAATAAACTAGTCCAGTTATGAAGCTGTCTAATTTTAATTCAAGGAAATCAAAACTAAAATAAAAGTTTATCAGCTGACGGTACAAAGCCTGGCTATATACTGGCCTGGAGATTATAAAAACTTTTTCTGATCTCAGGATTTTTTATCGGTAAATATAAATTCTATGCTGGTTTTTGACCAATCAAATGCCTGAGATTAGAGTTTAAGCATAGGAATTTTTTTTACCCTGGCAGCAAAGGCTAATTACTTACTAAAAGTTGCAGCAGGTTACGAGTTAAAAATTTATTTTTATTTTACATACCTGTTTTAGTGCTGCCCAACACTCGGAGCTAAACAGTGGAGAAAATGGAGCAATAACAGTGACCAGATCTTTCACAGCTCTCTCATACTGACAACTCCCGACAATAACATCAGCTGGAACTTTCTGTGAAATGAAATATCATATCAATTATAAAGATTACTGCTGTTTGACAGGTTTTTAGGTCAGGTATATAAGTAAACCCATGTAATCCTTACCTCAAAGTTCTAACTTCAACATTATCCAATGAAAATTTACAATACAAATAAATGTAAATGTAAATTCATTTATAAATTCAATATTGTTAATTTTCAGTCATCACTTCATCATACAATTTTTATTCCACTGATTTACAGCGATTATGGCTTCAATTTTACGTTAAGATATTTACAGCAATTAAAGTTACGATTTTTAATCCATTGATATACAGCTATTAAGGTTACAATTTTTACTCCATGTATTCACAGGTTTATAAAGGTTGCAATTTTTATTCCATGGATCTACAGCTATTAAGGTTGCATTTTTTCCATTAAGGTTGCATTTTTCCATTAAGGTTGCATATTTTCCATTATGGTTGCATTTTTTCCCATTGATTTACAGCTATTAAGGTTACAGTTCCAAAGCTATGAAAGTTTCTTTAAGCTATTTTCAATATTTAGAGTTACATATTTCTCTAACAAAATATGAACATGAAATCTTACCTTGAGAAAACTAGTAAGTTCATGCATCTTGGAGATTGCCTGGTTAAACATGAATGTTTTGTTTAAGGCGTGTCTGATCTGAAACAATTTACATAATATTTCAACTATGCAAAAAAAATTTAAAGCCATCATCATATTCAATAATACAAGTATATAAATATATGCCCTTATTTAAAGGCCTGTTATGCCTCAGAAATGCTTCTATTTTTAAAGATTTTTAATTTTGGAGTACTTTAATAGTATCCAAAAACTTACTCATTCGTCAATTACCTGAACCATCTTTTTCATGTGTTACTTTTTGGCAATAAGTACAGTTATAGTGAATAAGTATTTTGTATGGAAGTCAAAATACTACTTTATTTACATTCTGCTACTGTTATGACAAATAATTTCATATTTGTCACCACTTTCTTCAGATAACAAGCATCTAACATTCAGTAAAACCATTATATAAACATTACAAAATATTTAAAAAAGTTTTCCCTTTCTAAATTTGTAAAGCATGTATGCCCCCTATCGGCAGCCAATTAGTCATGTGATCAGGTTATTATGCATGACTTCTGACCCAGTGAACAAACAATTAATAAGGGTTATCTAGTATCTACTAGTCATGACTAGTCACAAGGTAATAATTATTTTGACCCCATAGGTTGTGTGCTGCAATTTAAGTTATTATAAATCTTACCAAATAATATATGCATAAATTTTATGAATCATGTAGGCCTCATTAATGACAGCCAAGTTGTTATATTACATAAGACCTTCGAATGTCTATACCAAAAGCATTTTTAGTTTAATATAAAAATATCAACCAATGCAACTTGAGTTGTTGAGATATTGGTCAGAAACCGTCATTAAGTATAAGGTCAATATGACATTGACCCCTTGACCCCAAAATCAATAGGGGCCATCAACTGGTCATGACCAATCATCATACAAAGTTTGAAGTTCCTAGGCATAAGCGTTCTTTAGTTATTGATCAGAAACCATTTTTACCTACAAGGTCAATGTGACCTTGACCTTGGACCCCTTGACCCCAAAATCAATAGGGGTCATCTGCTGGCAATTACCAATTATCATACCAAGTTTGAAGATTCTAGGCCTAAGTGTTCTTAAGTTATTCATCAGAAACTGTTTTTACTTACAAGGTCAATGTGACCTTGACCTTTGACCCCTTGATCCCAAAATCAATAGGGGTCATCTGCTGGTCATGACCAATCACCATACCAAGTTTGAAGTTCCTAGGCCTAAGCATTCTTTAATTATTGATCAGAAACCGTTTTTACTTACAAGGTCAATGTGACCTTTACCTTTGGCACCTTGACCCAAAACTCAATAGGGGTCATCTGCTGGTCACAACAAATCATCATACAAAGTTTGAAGTTCCTAGGCCTTAGCATTTTTAGTTAATTGATCGGAAACTGTTTTTACCTACAAGGTCAATGTGACCTTGACCTTTGACCCCTTGACCCCAAAATCAATAGGTCATCTGCTAGTCATGACCAATCACCATACCAAGTTTGAAGTTCCTAGGCCTAAGGGTTCTTAAGTTATTGATCGGAAACCGTTTTTACCTTCAAGGTTAATGTGACCTTAACCTTTAACCCCTCCACCCCAAAATCAATAGGGGTCATCTGCTGGTCATGACCAATCACCATACCAAGTTTGAAGTTCCTAGGCCTAAGGGTTCTATTGTTATTGATCGGAAACCGTTTTTACCTAATTGGTCAATGTGACCTTGACCTTTGACCCCTTGACCCCAAAATCAATAGGGGTCATCTACTGATCATAACCAATCACCATATCAAGTTTGAAGTCCCTAGGCCTAATCATTCTTCAGTTATTGATTGGAAACCATTTTTACCTACAAGGTCAATGTGACCTTGACCTTTGACCCCAAAATCAATAGGGGTCATCTGCTGGTCATAACCAATCACCATACCAAATTTGAAGTTCCTAGGCGCAAGGGTTCTTTAGTAATTGATCGGAAACCGTTTTTACCCAAGAGGTCAATGTTACCTTGACCTTTGACCCCTTGACCCCAAAATTAATAGGGGTCATCTACTGATCATGACCAATCACCATACCAATTTTGAAGTTCCTAGGCCTTAAGGTTCTTTAGTTATTGATCGGAAACCGTTTTTGCTTACAAGGTCAATATGACCTTGACCTTTGACCCCTTGACCCCAAAATCAATAGGGGTCATCTACTTGTCATGACCAATCACCATACCAAGTTTGAAGTTCCTAGGCCTAAGGGTTCTTTAGTTATCACTCGGAAACCATTTGGTCTACGGACCGACGACCGACGGACCGACAAGTGCAAAGCAATATACCCCCTCTTCTTCGAAGTGGGGGCATAAAAAGTTAATTTGTTTCTGAGGCATAATGTGCCTTTAAACTGGACTTTAGTATAAGTTAAGGTTACATAACACTGAGCCCTACAATACAAGTATATACTTGGGCAAGCACACAGCAGAAAAGATCATTCACATTAAACCATCCAATATATCCTATATTAACTACTTGTTCCAAAACTTGCAAATATATATTGGACAGTCAAGAGGTACAATTCAATTGCAGCCATTCTTCAGTTATTTCCTCCTTTTTTTAATCACTTACCTCAATCAAGTAGTGATTTCTAGCAGCCCTAATTTTCCTGTCCCATTCAGCAATCTGTTCTTCAGTAACAGGTTCCTCTGTATTTGTAATCTCGGGTTCTTTAACAAGTGCTCCGACCAATGACCACACCCTGTTTAACCAGCTACGAACCCCTGCATACACTAAACAGCGGATATACAATACACAGAATTAGAATGGATTTAAAGCAATTCAGTGTTTGTAGCAGTACCTCTAGACGCTCACAGAAATCATGATCACAAAGTAAATAAAATGTCCTGTTTTTTTCCGCCAATTCTTACATTTTTCATTCTTTATTGTAAATATATCGGTGTAAACAGATGAATTAGATGTTGTAAAGTTCATTCCATAGACTTTAGCATTTAATCAATCATTTAATTCAAGCCCCTTGAAAATAAATTTATAGCAGGAAGACATGTATTATAACAACTGGATCATTACACAATATTCAAGTTTTAGTAATCTTTTTTCGAAAAACAAACCATTTTTATCCCTCTGTCTGACTGTACAATCTAAATTTATACACTACACTGACAGTGGAAAACTTGAAATATGGCTAGTTTGTGTAGAAAACTATATAGATGAACACACAAAGAGTCTGAAGGTTATTCTTACCATCATTATTCCAGTTGCGATCTGATTGTGGAGATACATTCGACAGGATACATAAACGAGTCATATCTGCTCCATACTCTTTGAACAGATCCTAAATTATAAAGATAAAACCAAATCATTTAGAAATACCCTGCTTAGTCACACTCCTTGGCTAGGCTATCCTTTTGTTTTGTTGGAGTAGAGGGAATGGGGTATAATTTTAACATCACAGTTCTACATAATAAAGTTTCATATCAAATAACAGACCACAAAGACTTACGGGTTTAGTTTTCATGGTTTTTGCTTCAAATCTATGTAACATTGGTAGCCCTAATGTAATACCCCCTCCCCCGAAATGGTATTAGGAGAACAATGATAGAGGACCAAAGATGACACCTTTTAAGCAATCATAAAGTATTTTGTCTATGCAATTCTGAACAAGATTTTACAAGATGTTTTACTTAGGAAATAGATATCAATTCTGAGTGCATTGTTGTAGAATAATGCACGGTTGGAGTTCAAATGCGTAGTAATATAATCACGAAGGCCGATAGGCCTGAGTGATTAATTACAAAGCATTTGGACGAAAAACATGCATTTTTTTTTTATTATACAATAATGCACAAAGAATTAATATCTATTTCCATTCTAACACGTCAAGAAAAAATATAATTATTATCATAATGTTGGACTTTATGTTTGGTGGTTAAATTTGTTTTCGCCTCAAAGTTTCCAATAGAAACGTTCTTTAAAGGCTGTTCCAATGGTATGAAAAAAACTGTCGTTAAATCTTCCGTATGTAGAAACATTTTGAGAATAACAAATTTTGAAAACGTTGATAAAACTGTTTGTTTATTTTATTTCACTCTCTAATTTTTCAATCGAAATAAAATTTATTAAAAGTAAAATAAATGTAAAACTTAACTCGTTTGCGACATTAAAATAGCGTACTTGATTTGATTGTTTTGCACGTGCTGTTTGGCGCTACATTGTGACGTCACGTAAACAATACTTTAAACGCCTGTACAGCGTTAACGACTGTATAAAAGATATTAGTGTTCGGATTCATTTTCTTAGTTAGACCATTTTCTTTCATTCTAGATAGTTTTCACAACAAAATTCGACAAAAAATTGTTTTTATTCATCAGATTTTTCAAATAAAATGGCGCCCTCAATGTGAAAATACACAGGGAGGTAATAAGAATGGCGAGTGCATTGTTGTAGAATAATGCACGCTTCGGGCCTTCTTTGTTTATATAGAAAAATGTCCGATAGTGTTAGAATTGAATATATACCACAGAGGCACAATTTTAACACCCTTGATTGAGGACCACTAGGAGATACAAATGTACTAAATATCAAATATAAATGTGCTAAGCTATGAAATTCTAGAAAAGAAGATATTTATGAAGTTTTACTGCTCATTATCATATACATTTAGGTAAAACAAGAGTAGAATTTTGATATGACACCCAAAGAATAATTACCTCAGGATCTATTCCATTATGTTTGGATTTCGACATTTTTTCATATTTCACTTCCACTTTCTCTCCTGTGTCCTTCTGAACATAGTTGTTACCTGGTAACAGAAACATAATATCATTTATAAACAGTGAAAATCTTACTTAAAAACTGCCCCATAATATTTTGTTCCAGTACGTTTTATTCTATTTACGTACAATATTCATGTGTTTAATAACAGAAACATTCTACATTACAACTCCTCCAAAAATCAACCATAACATTATGAAAGCAACATTATTTTACTTATTTAAATTCCATAAAAATATTTCATCAGATATAGTTCTATACACTTTAATGAATATATGGTTAAGGTAGTCTTACTGTAATGCTTTCCCGCCAAAAAAAATCTAACATTGGCCAATATCGTAGTAAATTGGTTATTTCAAGAACGTTATTTCTTCAAAATCTTGAATCTTGGGCATTAGATTATTTACAATCACTCATCCTATATCCCTAAGTACTAAATTCCGGTGATAAATGGTTAAAAATTATTGAATTCTGAATATTGTAAAAAAAATGAAGTTCCAGAAAAGACCGATTTATTACGATATTGGCAGATATTAGAAATTTTATGGCCGGAAAGCATTACAGAAAGACTACCTTAAATTCATAGCCATACTTACCCACTTTTTCCACATCACAAGGCTTAAGGTACATCCCCGTCTTCTGGACCTTGTAACTCAAACCTTTCACCATTCCCTGTGTCAGAAGGTTGACAAACGGCTCCCTGTGACACGATATACCCTGGTCACACAGGAAGTGACTGATAAATCGTGCATAGTATAAATGGAGTAATGCTGAAAGTAAAAATAAAGTAAAGCTGGTTGTTGGTTTGCAGGATCTTTTAAAACAAAACAAAGCCTTGATTTGTAGTATATTTAACAAATACTTAAAGTAATTGCCGGATACTGATATACATATGATATAAATGTTTGGTGCTAGAGTTGACAATTATTGGCCTTTTTTGTATAGGTTAGTGTTTATTAGTAAGCATTTACCAAATTAAATTGGTTAAGAATGGCACAGCCTTTTGACAAATTAAATTTGGTAAATGCTTACTAATGAACAATAACCTATGTTTGAAATTATTTTATAAACAGTCGATTTACTCAACTGGTTAATAGTGAGCTGATTTACCAAAGTAAACCAGGAAATCTGACGCTCTCCCTATTGAGCTAAGTGGGCTTAAGTAAGGGGTTAAGTAAGTAAACAAGAGCTGTCACAGGAGACAGCCAAGCTCGACTAATAAAATACTGGACGCAGTAAGGAGGACAAAACTATGAAAGAAAAACCAATTATGTATTAATTATGTATTAAGTTATAGTAAAAATATATCATTTGTTAACATAAATTTCAAGATCAAGGGGAATAATTCTAGAAAAAGTCATGCTAGAGTTATGAACCTTTCACACAACATGTGTGTAATGATAAGAAATATATATTTGAAGTTTGAAGTAGATACCTTAAAAAGTAAAGAAGTTATAATATTTCTAAAAGAAAATCCTAAGTTCAAAGAAAGATAAATCTGTAAATATTGCTTCAAGAGTTACGAACATTGTCACATAAAATGTAATTGATGATAAGGAATAAGTATTTGAAGTTTGAGGTAGATACCTTATAGTAAAAAATAACATTTTTCTAGTAAAAAAATCTAAGTTTATGGGGAGATAATTCTTGCAATATTGGTGCTAGTTATGAACCTTGCCACATAAAATGTGGATGATGATAAGTTACATATATTTGAAGTATGAAGTTGATCCCTTTAGAAATAAATAAGTAGCAGTAAAAAATAGAATTTTTTAAGGAAAATTCTAAGTTCAAGGGGAGATAAATCTGAAAATATTGATGCTAGAGTTATGAACCTTGTCACATAAGATGGGGAGGATGATAAGGTACATATATTTGAAGTATGAGGTTGATCCCTTAACAAATAAAGAAGTAACAGTAAAAAATAGTATTTTTTGAGGAAAATTCTAAGTTCAAGGGGAGATAAATCTGAAAATATTTGTGCTAGAGTTATGAACCTTGTCACATAAGTTGGGATGATGATAAGGTACATATATTTGAAGTATGAGGTTGATCCCTTAAGAAATAAAGAAGTAACAGTAAAAAATAGTATTTTTTAAGGAAAATTCTAAGTTCAAGGGGAGATAAATCTGAAAATATTGGTGCTAGAGTTATGAACCTTGTCACATAAGATGTGGTTGATGATAAGGAACATATATTTGAAGTTTGAAGTTGATACTTTAAGAAATGACAAAGTTATAGTGAAAAATATTTTACTGCACCAAAACTTTTTAATCTGAAATCTGGACGCGGGGCGAGTAGGACAGCTCTCCATATACTTCGTATAGTCGAGCTAAAAAGTAAATTTATAATAAACTAAATATACAGATAACATGCTGCAATACCATGTTCAATCCCTCCTATATATAAATCCACTGGCATGTATTTCTTGGCTATTTCTCGTGATACTGGAACTTTCTCGTTTGAATGATCTAAATATCTCAGGAAGTACCACGATGAATCCACAAATGTATCCATAGTGTCTGTCTCTCGCTTTGCTGGGCCACCACACCTGAAATATATACCTTTTTATAGCTACTTCTTTTTTTTTATCTTTTTTATAAACATTTTTATCTAGGAAATGGGACTTTTTCTAATTTTTAGATTTGTTTGGCTTTAAATCACATGGATGCTGTAAAGGCCAAATGGCAACTTCTAGTTTTACACATCAACAGAAACCCCTCGTGCCCCTCAGTGAATTGTATTAGACTGGGCAAATAAGTACACCTACAAGCATACGATATACTATCTAGATACTACCTTCTTCGCATTAAATTATCCAGAGTATAGCCGGACAAGACCTTACATAGGTGTGTGATCATCACCTGTAAAATCCCATCAATGTGGACAAGATAAAATATTGACTTTTCCATAAAGCAAATAAACACTTTCAATGGAATAAATTAGTGACTTGTATCTTAAACAAGAGCCCGGTTTGAGCCGGGTGATGCTCCCCGAATAGAATTTGGACACAGGAAAGTACACCTCTTATAGTTTCAGAGTACAAAGTGCAATAATTCCAAAATTAGACAAGGCAGAGTTACTGTTCTTTGCACTACACTTCTAATCAATGTGATCTATCAACCTACAAAGTTTCTTGATGATATCTCTTATGATTTCCGAGTTATGTCCCGGACAACTTCAAAAAGTAAAAATAAAAAAAGGGCAATAACTCCAGAATTAGGCAAGGCAGAGTTATGATTCTTGTGCACTGCACATCTTCCCATTGAGATATATCTACCTACAAAGTTTCATGTTCATTTCATTTTTCTTAAAGGGGAGATAATTCAAAAATGAGGTTTAACAGAGTTATGGTTCTTTTGCACCGCACCTCTACTCAATGAGATCTATCTACCTACAATGTTTTATCTTGATATCTCTTAGAGTTTTGTCCGGACAAAGTTCAAAGTGTTAAAATTAACAAAGGGCAATAACTCCAAAATTAGGACAAAAAGAGTTATTGTTCTTATGCACTGCACATCTACCCATTTAGATATATCTACCTACAAAGTTTCATGTTGATATCTCTTATAGTTTTACAGCTATGTCCTGGACAAGATTTTTCTATAAGGGGAGATAATTCAAAAATGAGGTTTAACAGAGTTATGGTTCTTTTGCACCGCACCTCTACTCCATGAGATCTATCTACCTACAATGTTTTATCTTGATATCTCTTATTGTTTTAGAGTTATGTTCTGGACAAAGTTCAAAGTGTTAAAATTAACGAAGGGCAATAACTCCAAAATTAGGACAAAAAGAGTTATTGTTCTTATGCACTGCACATCTACCCATTGAGATCTATTCACCTACAAAGTTTCATGTTGATATCTCTTATAGTTTTAGAATTATGCCCCGGACAAGATTTTTCTATAAGGGGAGATAATTAAACAAGAGCTGTCACAGGAGACAGCCAAGCTCGACTAATAAAATACTGGACGCAGTAAGGAGGACAAAACTATGAAAGAAAAATCAATAATGTATAACTATGTATTAAGTTATAGTAAAAAAATAACATTTGTTAAAATAAATTCCAAGATCAAGGGAAATAATTCTAGAAATAGTCATGCTAGAGTTATGAACCTTGTCACACAACATGTATGTAATGATAAGAAGTATATATTTGAAGTTTGAAGTAGATACCTTAATAAATTAAAAAGTAACAAAGTTATAATATTTCTTAAAGAAAATCCTAAGTTCAAAGAGAAATAAATCTGTAAAAATTACTTCAAGAGTTATGAACATTGTCACATAAAATATAATTGATTATAAGGAATAAGTATTTGAAGTTTGAGGTAGATACCTTTAAAACTAAAAAAGTTATAGTAAAAAATAACATTTTCTAGTAAAAAAATCTAAGTTGATGAGGAGATAATTCTTGCAATATTGGTGCTAGAGTTATGAACCATGTCACATAAGATGTGAATGATGATAAGGTACATTTATTTGAAGTATGAAGTTGATCCGTTTAGAAATAAATAAGTTATAGTAAAAAATAGTATTTTTTAAAGAAAATTCTAAGTTCAAGGGGAGATAAATCTGAAAATATTGGTGCTAAAGTTATGAACCTTGTCACATAAGATGGGGATGATGATAAGGTACATATATTTGAAGTATGGGGTTGATCCCTTAAGAAATAAAGAAGTAACAGTAAAAAATAGTATTTTTTAAGGAAAATTCTAAGTTCAAGGGGAGATAAATCTAAAAATATTGGTGCTAGAGTTATGAACCTTGTCACATCAGATGGGGATGATGATAAGGTACATATATTTGAAGTATGAGGTTGATCCCTTAAGAAATAAAAAAGTAACAGTAAAAAATAGTATTTTTTAAGGAAAATTCTAAGTTCAAGGGGAGATAAATCTGAAAATATTTGTGCTAGAGTTATGAACCTTGTCACATAAGATGTGGTTGATGATAAGGAACATATATTTGAAGTTTGAAGTTGATACCTTAAGAAATGACAAAGTTATAGTGAAAAATATTTTACTGCACCAAAACTTTAATCTAAAATCTGGACGCGGACGCGGACGCCGACGCCGGGGCGAGTAGGACAGCTCTCCATATACTTCGTATAGTCGAGCTAAAAACCAGGCAAAATAGAGTTATGGTTCTTTGACACTGCACTCCCCCTCAATGCCCTCTACCACTGTATGAAGTTTCAACAAATTATCTCCAAGGGTTTTCAAGTTATGCTCCGGACAAGACAACGGACGGACGGACGGACATACAGACGGACAAGGCGCCGACTATAAGAAATTTTTTGGGGAGCATAAAAAAGATATGAAACTATTCTTTAGGTTCTTAACCCTAGAATTCATCTATCTGACTTTTTGTGATCTGGCTGGGGCTAAACAAATGCACAAGATGGTCCGAGTTTAATTTTCTTCAGACACTTTTTTATGTCTTAATATTTTATTAGGTGAAGTGAAGAGCTTGCTATTTCTAGTCAGGAACCAACATTTAGAATGTTAACTGAAATAAAAAATTCATTTTTTTTATTACGTGAAACTGTTTGAATATCTGATTGTTAATCATACCTTTTTCTCTATCACTGTCATTTAACAAAACATACTGTAATTATGTTAGAACTACTTTTGAATCATTTGGGTTTTTTTTTTAACACAACAATACTTACTTTGGGCACTTCACATTAAGCCATTGTTCATCTTGTGCTAGGACTGAGCCACCTTTACTGGTAGTAGGTTTTGTTGTGTCCGGTAGGACCACAGGTAAGTCCTCCATAGGTACTGGCACAGTCTGGAAAAATGTATAACAGAACTGATATTAAATACAAGACAAACAAGGACACCATAGAAAGAAAAGTTTGGTTCAGAAAAGGCATGAAATTTCTGTTAATAAGTCAAACACTATTAGGTTAACAAATAAAAAAAAAATGGAAAAATAACACAACAAAAACCAAATATGGCAATAGCAAGTCAGAACCATATAGGAATAGTTGTTTCCATGAATGTAGGAAAGGTATATGTTCTAAGTCTAAAAAAAATAAATATATAGTTTTAGAGAAAAAAGGTACAAAAAATGGTACATTTAACAATCTGAAAACTGACACTAAAGTCTTATTTGAGAATACTCTCAAACACAATTAAAACTATATCAAGTTCTCAACATAATCCTTTCCATTTTCCAATCAAATACATCAATCCTACCTTACAAGTATCACAGTGTATAACAGGTATCGGTGTACCCCAGTATCTCTGCCGGGATATAAGCCAATCTTTTAGGTGCGAACTCACTTGCTCACCCCCAAAACCTTGTTCCTGCAAATATAAAATACCTAAATTTAGTTCATACATGTATAGCAATAAGAAATTGTCAAAAAACTTGGGCTTTCAATGTTGGCAAGGGAAATAATTGGGGGGGGGGGGGGTGTTCAGCAATACTAGCATGGAAAATTGTCAAAGAACCCAGTTATTCTTTCAAAATTAGCACGGGAATTGTCAAAAACAAGAGGGCCATCATGGCCCTGAGGTCACTCACCTGTATATAGGCCCCCCCACACCTGGGCCAATTTTTACCCAAGGGCTTTTATTTGTTTATTTGAACAGACTTGGTAGACACCCATAAGAAGATGTTTCATGCTAAACTCTAATTTCTAGCTCATTGGGTTTTTTAAAAGAAGATTTTTAAAGTTTTTACTATACACATATAGTTAAAAACAATGACACCCCTGGGGCAGGGCCAGTTTTGACCCCCGGGCTTTTATTTGAACAAACTTTGTAGATATTTACTTAAAGATGTTTCATGCTTAATATCTAAACTCTAGCTATTTGGGTTTTTTCAAAGAAGATTTTTTAAAGTTTTTTCTATACAAATATAAGGAAAATCAATGACCCCCCCCCCCCCCCGGGCGGGGCAAGTTTTGACCCCAGGGCTTTTATTTGAACATACTTGGTAGACACCAATTAGAACATGTTTCATTCTAAATATCTTAGCTCTAGCTCTTTGAGTTCTTTAAAAGAAGATTTTTTAAGTTTTTACTAAATGCATATAGGGAAAATCAATGACCCCCTGGGACGGGGCCAATTTTGACCCCAGGGCTTTTATTTGAACAAACTTGGTAAACACTTATTAGAAGATGTTTCATGCTAAATATCTTAGCTCTAACTCTTTGGGTTCTTTAAAAGAAGATTTTTTAAGTTTTTACTATATGCATATAGGGAAAATCTATGACCCCCTGGGGCGGGGTCAATTTTGACCCCAGGGCTTTTATTTGAACAAACTTGCTAGACATTCACTAGAAGATATTTCATGCCAAATATCTAAGCTCTAGCTCTTATGGTTCTTTAAAAGAAGATTTTTTAAGTTTTTACTATATGCATATAGGGAAAATCAAGGCCCCCCCGGGGTGGGGCCAATTTTGACCACAGGGCTTTAATTTGAACAAACTTGGTAGACACTCACTAGAAGATGTTTCATGCTTAATATCTTAGCTCTAGCTCTTTGGGTTCTTTAAAAGAAGATTTTTTAAGTTTTTACTATATGCATATAGGGAAAATCAATGACCCCCTGGGGCTGGGTCAATTTTGACCCCAGGGCTTTTATTTGAACAAACTTGGTAGACACTTATTAGAAGATGTTTCATGCTAAATATCTTAGCTCTAGCTCTTTGGGTTCTTTAAAAGAAGATTTTTTAAGTTTTTACTATATGCATATAGGGAAAATCAATGACCCCCTGGGGCGGGGCCAATTTTGACCCCAGGGCTTTTATTTGAACAAACTTGGTAGACACTCATTAGTAGATGTTTCATGCTAAATATCTTAGCTCTAGCTCTTTGGGTTCTTTAAAAGAAGATTTTTTAAGTTTTTACTATATTCATATAGGGAAAATCAAAGACCCCCCGGGGTGGGGCCAATTTTGACCACAGGGCTTTAATTTGAACAAACTTGGTAGACACTCACTAGAAGATGTTTCATGCTTAATATCTTAGCTCTAGCTCTTTGGGTTCTTTAAAAGAAGATTTTTTAAGTTTTTACTATATGCATATAGGGAAAATCAATGACCCCCTGGGGCGGGGCCAATTTTGACCCCAGGGCTTTTATTTGAACAAACTTGGTAGACATTCACTAAAAGATGTTTCATGCTTAATATCTAAGCTCTAGCTCTTTTGAGTTCTTTAAAAGAAGATTTTTTAAGTTTTTACTATATGCATATAGGGAAAATCAATGACCCCCCGGGGCGGGGCCAATTTTGACCCCAGGGTTTTTATTTGAACAAACTTGGTAGACACTCACTAGAAGATGTTTCATGCCAAATATCTAAGCTCTAGCTCTTATGGTTCTTTAAAAGAAGATTTTTAAGTTTTTACTATATGCATATAGGGAAAATCAATGACCCCCTGGGGTGGGGCCAATTTTGACCCCAGGGCTTTTATTTTAATAAACTTGGTAGACGCTTACTAGAAGATGTTTCATGCCAAATATCTAAGCTCTAGCTCTTGGGTTTGTTTAAAAGAAGATATTTAAAGATTTTTCTTTCGGTTGCCATGGCAACCAGAGTTCTGCATGGAATTAAATTCTTTGAACAATTTTTAAAGGTGACCACCAAAGGAACATTCCGGTGAAATTTGGATGAAATTGGCTCAGTGGTTTATGAGGAGATGTCATTTAAAGCAAAAGTTTACGGACGGACGCCGGACGAAAAGCGATCACAAAAGCTCACCCTGTCACTTTGTGACAGGTGAGCTAATAATACAGGTTTTCTATAAATATTGGTACTGAAAATTGTCAAAAACCCTTGGTTTTTCTTTTGTTTTTTTTTTATCAAAATTTACAAGGAGCAAAAACATGTTTTCTATCCATACTGGCAAGGGAAATTTTCACCGACTAACCTTTAACCTTATGTTTTCTACCAAAATTGGTAAGGGAAATTGTTGCAACCTAATGTTTACCACCTAAGAAAAGCAGGGGGCAGCTGCACACAAATAAAACTGTTTTTTACCTGCAAGCTACAAACTTATTATTTCTAAAATGCTTCCATTATCACAAAAATCTGCCGATAGCAAAAGGTACAAGGTCATGGCACAGATATGGTGTGGGCAATATTTTTCTATGGTCTTTAGGTGTAACATTAACCTTAGACCTCTGACCTTGAGTATGACACAACATCTCATGATGGTGAACATTTACATGTATATTGAGTAATACTGAAATCTTCCATGCACATAGATGATAAGCACCAGAAAATAAATCTTGAATTTTCATCATCTCTAGTTACCTTGACTTTGCACATATGGATCTGATTCATGGATGAAATGCTCAGCCTCAAGATGGTAAAAAATTACAATCTCTCTATTCAAACATTATCATATTAGATCTATTTACTTTTTTTATGGTGGGGGGAGGGGTGTGCATTATCCTCTCAAAAAATAATTAATTCATTCATTTATAAACATGAAAGAATTTTGGTTTATTTATTTATTTATTCTTTTATTTATTCATAAACATGAAAGAATTTTGTAATAATTTAACAAACAATTAATAAAAAGATTTTTAACTGACAATACTAAACACTTCTGACACTTTATTTTTTAAATCTGTATTTTTTTTTTTTAAACGCAAATGTAACACCTTTCTTAGATAAGAAAATTTCGTGCACTTTAAAAATGTAACATCCATTTTGTTCTTTCTACAGTGTACCATTCTAGTTTATTGCAGTGAAAAATTTGGACCCATCTTTTCTTTTCATAGCAAGGTCAACGGCTCACAAAGAGTATTAACAATTAAAACCTTGTATTGTTTTGTTTAAGTTGTGTAAACCAGGTCAACCAGTAACTATGTATTGTATCATAGTTTGGAGACCTTTCTAATGTAAATGTGAAGGGGAGGAAACGCCTCCTCGTACAAACAAGAAAGCCTCATGCTTTGATGCTCTTTCTATTACTTATCCCAGTGTAGCAGTTGGATAACCAATTTCACCATTTATATAAAAGTGTAAACACTGTAAAGAGATCAAAAAATAATTAGGATTAAATTTTTTAAGTAAAACACACGCAGAATCTTCATTTCTGTTATACATATTAAGCACTACACTATTTTTCATTTTCCAATGATATAAACAAAATTTCACAAAAAAATAAACAATTCTTTTATCTTTGCATGGTTATAAAAAATATTCAAATACAACAGATTTGAATTATTTCTATATGGCATGTTTCACTTTGAGTTGTACAATGAAGGTTGACACCCAATACTGTAAGGGTCATATCCTGACTTTCCAACCCAATAGCACGTTATTCAGCCATAAGCCTGTGCCCTAGTTGAACCATCAGCATTCTGTAGCTAGTTTAGTAGCTTCCACACGTAAAAGATTCTAATTTCCTGGCTGGATTCAAACTCACAGTGAAGGGGAGCATGTGGCTGAAGTCAAAGTCACAGTTACCACCACACCAAGTAGACTCTCTGGCGATATTCAAAATCACAGTGAAGAGGCACAAGTGGTTAAAAAGTGACGGTTACCACCATGCCAAATAGGCCTTATTTGCTACTGTCAAAACCGGATATCTGCATCAGTCATGACAATTGCCAACCAGAACCTGTCCCTCTGGGTCTTGTTACACATTCTCCACTGGTACCTTCCACTTTTTACACCTGATAATGAAAATAATATACTATAGCAGTATGGTACGACAACAATACATTTTTTTTTTCCTGAATCTATGATTAAATTTTGTTCTTTAAAGTGCAAATATTAAGCTAAAATTCTATATACATGTACCGTATAAGTACTTTTTTCTGCGGGAACTTTATTTCTGCTATTTCTGCGGTTTGTTACAACACCGCAGATTTAAAAACCGCAGAAAATTAAGCCATTCTCGGCTTTGTTTATGTATACATGTGTCGGAATTTCAGCAACCGGTAATGTCTAACTACATTACCTAACCATTAACATGTATCGTTATCGGCTTTTAACGGTATAAGTAGATTTTTCTTTCTGTCATGAATTAAAGATTATAAAAAATCGTTACTTTGCTTGTTATTTTTGTTGAAATAAATATCATGTTGGTATGATTTTTGCTCACTCTAAGCTTGAATTATTTGATAGAATAAAATGACTATAGTATATGAAGGTTGAAGGTGCTAAACAAGTCGAAATCTCGGGCTTTGGAGACAAATGACAATTCACTGCCGTATTTGCTGGTACACTGCAAGGTAAATCTAAATTTTCTCTGCCGAATATTTTATATAATTAAATGCTTAATAAAACTTATAATTTTTATCATTGCAATTAAATATTAAAATTGTGTTAAAAATGTGTTCATGTGCAGTGTATATCGTTGTTAATATGGCTGTTTCAGTTTAAAATATATTTAAAAACACCATTATCAAAAACGTGATAAAATGACCATTGTTTGAAATTATCATTAAAAACCTGTAATAAACACGCTTTTATGTACCACTATATTATGTGCGAATTTTGCCATTGTGTATTTTTCACACTTAACTGTAAATGTCCACTTAAGCGAAATGATTGAAATTCTTTTATTCAAATTGTGTTGATTTTTTTTTTCTTACAGGCGAATTTCTTCCGCCGCAAATAATCTTCACTGGTAAAACAACACGTTGTTTACCAAGCTATAAGTTCAAGTATTCATGTTGAAAGAGACTAACATTTGCAAGTTTTTCCATAGATTCTTTTCAATGTATATACATGCATGATTTATTTGTTGTGAAAGGAATATAATGAATATATATATAATGAATATAAGGACTATAATGAACCTATAAGATAGTTAAATACATGAATGCTTCAAATTTATACACATACAGTATTAAAATTGTTGTCATTAAATTTTGTTGTTCTTGTTTTCTTAATAATTACGTAATACCGGTATATAGTGTATACCGATACATGATGATTACAACGAAACACATTATCAGTCGTCTGCATTTTTACCGAAAGTAATGACATATCAACAAATCTTGAAATGCCGTTTATTGGTTAATTGTATACAAATATCATGATTTAAACGCAGAAATAAAACACTTGAATGGGAGAATGATGGCACCGCAGAAATAAGAAACGCAGAAATTTAAGACCCCTAATTTTAACGAAAATCGCAGAATTTTAAGACCGCAGAAATAAGTACTTATACGGTAATACTTAATAGTTCAACCTATAACAGAAACAGAAAATCAAATATTAAATATATTTCAAGACCTTTAATTCTACACAAACCCATTTTAATTAATCTCTACAAGGTGTGGTTCTATACAATAGAGAAAAACATTCTCTAAAGAATGTCCAAAACAGGAAAATCAAAATTGTTGCAGGCCTGGTTTTATTAAACCTGTACAATAATGGCAGTGGTTATTGCAATCTACCATAAAAAACGTAGCAGTCTTGCACTGGCTTAACCTGAATTCAACACCTAACATGAAAATGGTGAAATTATTTAAACCAGTTTTCAGCATTCTTTAAACTGAAAAGGAAAATTTCAGCATACCATGCCACGGAGATTCTAGGATCAAGGTAGTGGAGTTTAGAGGTTCCAAGGGCAAATTCCTTGTTCTCAACTTTAGTTGTTGCTTGTACCTCGAGTCTCGTCAGCTGTTCTTTTGCTTTGTTATATGCTTTCTCTTTCTTCTCATATAACCTAAAAAAAATATAAAAGGTTTTATAACAGACTATTTAATCTTATTCACTTGAATGGAAACTTGTTTCAGACATAAAAAAATAACCTTTCAACTTGTGGAGACATTATCAGGAAATTTATCTGAAACATGTTAACTAACAGAGACATTATAGTGTTGCAACTTCTTCATGAACTGATAATAACGTTATGGAAAAAAAATATCTCATGATGCACAAAGTTTATCAATCGCCTACATTTCCAGGGGTTCAAGCCCTCTTTATCAAGGAGTTTGCTGTTTATTTTATGAATCACATATTTATCTTCTTTTTTTCTTACATTTAGTTATTTACAAAAATTACAGGAAATGACATCATTGATGTCAACATTAGAAATTCTGCAAAGTGATGATTATCTTTTTTTGGTCAAATTTGCAAATCTGCATAATGAAGGAAAAGAGTATTTATCACTAACAGTGAGTGATATTTCATTCTGAAAATAATATAATTATGTTTTTCTTTGAAAAATATGATGTTTTAACACATTCTATATTATTTAAATAGACAGAATTATATAAATAATTAAGACTTATATCATCATGTATTTTTAGAATACATTGAAAAATCTTAAAGGGACATTACTCAATTAACTCTCATAACAACTGTTAGGAAAAGAAAGTGAGTTATTTCCCTTTCATTTCATTCAAAACCAAAAGAGGAAGTAAAAATAGCAAAATTTCCACCTAGCTGGTCAAAAGGAAAGAAACAGTTTTTGTTGATTATTTCTATGATACAACCTTCAAAGTAAGTTTAAAACTTTATTCTAAATACACAGTTTCTCATTTATATAAAATGAATTATGTAAGAAAGTAGTTCAGGCAATATTTTAGACAGTGTTTTTAATTTTTTTGTCTCCCTTTCATGAATCTCAAAAAAAAAAATTGTTAAAATAAATTATGTATTTTAATACATAATTGTTTTACATTATCATGTTTTTTACAATATATTGTAGTGTTATATAAATCTAAATTTCCACATATCTGGTCAAATGAAAAGAAATATTTTCTCTTGATTATTTTCAAGAAATTTAAATCCAGAATTCAAAGTAAATTTAAAACATTATATTATGTACACAATTTCTCATTTATATTGGATGAATTATGTAAGAAAGTATCACATGAATATCTAAATGAGTGTTAAATTTTAGTGTCTCTCTTATATCAAAATTCTGAGAACAAATATTCAAATTTACATAATAGAGAAGAAAATACCACAACCAAATAGAGAAAAATATGCAATATTCTTGATCAATTGATATCTACCTCAACTTATTTATTTTATGTTTCATAATGTCCAGATTCAGGGTCTCCTGTTCTGTTCTGTTCTAGGACACAAAGGACAAATAAATAAAAAGTAGAAGTATGTGATAAAATTAATTAAAACTGCTGACTGCAACATTTTTTCTGTATTAATATATTACAGAATGTTTCAAGAACCTGACTACAGAGAAAACTTATCATTGATGTTATCAGAGGTTTTACATGACATTGGTGTCAATGAAAGAATTGTGATGAGAAGTAGAAGAGGAGTCATGCTGATTGAGACTATGAGTAATATCAGGTGCAGGTTAACTGATCAAAATATAACTAAATATTATCTAGGGAGTCAAAGTGAAGGTACAACTACTGAAGGACTTAGTTCAGACTTTGATACACTAGCCTGTAGTCATAATGTCAATATAATACAAGACTGGTCAGAGTGGGAACATGGCAAGAGAAACTTCCTCATGATACAGGATGAGAACACTACCCCCGGGTATTGTTTCTTACAACGACTCAGACATGATGAACCTCTTCCTATCACTGTCATTCCTGATGAACACCATATTACTGATGGAAGAGGAAGAATATTGTATAAAAACACAGTGATAAATGATTTTCTTGAGGGTGCTCATCAGCAGCATGGACCATCTATTGCTGAACACGGCCAAAATGGATTATGTGATATAGACAGAGTGTTAGCTTTTCCATGTCAATCATGGCCTCAATCAGCATCAGGTTGGTTAGATAGACAGGGTATTGGCAGATGGCCAACACAAGAGATGAGAACATATGCAGCCAGTACTGTATGTTTTGTTGTTCCAACTGGAAGTAAGATCAGTGAATATCCTGAATTGGAATGGAGAATATCTACAACATTGACAGAAAGATGTCTTATGTACAATCTAAATATAACACAAATAAGGTGCTATGTACTATTGAAAATGATTCTTAAATCCTTCCTTAATCCTCAGGATGAAATCAACATATCAAGTTTCATGTGTAAAACAGTTCTTTTACATTGTATAGAAAACACAGAGTCGCGAATATGGAAAGATATCAATTTATTTACATGTTTAACATACTGCTTATTGGAATTACACAGTTGTGTACAGAATGACTGTTGTTCACATTTCATTATACCGGAAAATAATTTGATGGCAGGGCAATTTACAGCTGAGACAAAACATGAACTTTCAAAAAATATTTGTGATTTTATACAGAATGATAGACAATGGTTACTTAGTATTGATATTGATGATGTCGGTCAACGACTTCAAGTTAAACTGAACACGGTACCACATGGTGTTTATTATTTTCCTTCTTTTCTTGAAATATATGAAACTGTTACAGCATTTGCATATATAAACATTGCGAACACAATATGTATACAGCATAAGCTTATTTTAAGACATTTTCACAATAAAAACATTAGAACAATAAACCAACATAAGCAACAAATAGTTCAATTGATGAACTTCAGTGATAATGGTAATAGATTTGAACAAGTTGCATTCAATTTTCTAGCACCTTTTCTTTTCACCACATATGGTTCTACCCTAGCATCATCCAGCATTGGTGAAAATAATCAAGTGTCACCTCAAGCATTGGTCTGGCTATCAGCTGGTTTAAACTCAGATATCTCATCTAGCAGACTTAAATTGGCTTCAGTGTTCTTCAGTACAGGAGATATGGAGAAAGCTGAACTAATTCTTAGACACACAGAGCAACAATATTATTCTTATCCTGTTTTATCTATCTGTTGCTGCTGGCAGCCGCCACTAACAGTATCAGCAGAATTCAAGAGGGCATGTAATGAACAAAGTGAGGACTGTATCAAACATATTACAGCTTTTTGTGTCAGATTTATACAGGGAGAGATCTACTGTGTTCCTCATGAACTACAATATGAAATGTTCAGATCTACACACGATGACATGATACACAGACATGCATATAAAGACTGTTGGATGGACTGGGCTGTAGTTGATTCTCTACCTCTCCTGTACTTCCTACAATACAAGATCTATCGTCATCTACAAAGGCATCAAGATCAACAACAAGCACTTTGTAAACTTATAAGAACCATAGAAACAGATAAAAACCTTGGACATAGAGAAACAGCTCTAAACATTTTAGGACAATGTATGGAACAAGAAAACAGACCTCAACAAGCATTTAAATGCTACATGCTTTCTCTTCGACAAAGGGCAAGGAACAATGCAGCAAACTTCCATATATGTAAGCTCCTTTCTGGCTTAATGGTTAGCCAATAAAATGGGATCAAAAAAAGAAAGTATAAAGACTTCACCTTTCAATGATATCAAAAAGTTTAAAGGACAAAATATAGGCCTATTATCATTATTTTGAAACACAATTAAGCATGTTTAATTGAAAGAATGATTCCAACTTCATTGACTTTGAATATCTGACTTTACATTTAAGAGTTAGGAGCCTCTTGTGTAGAGGACCAGTTTTGCTCGTGAAAATGTATTTTAAATTTTGGTTTATAAGGTAAAGTTTTTTTTCCAAGCTTTTTTATACAGTAGTTAAAACAGTTTTAGCTAGTCTTCTATTGTTGGCAGTTTTTATTAAAAGTCTTGTTCTATAAATGTATCTTGTATATAAAAGTCTTGTTCTTATTTTATATTTTGTACCCCGTACAATACAAAACAATACAACCAAATTCATTGAATTTATATCCCACCACCAGTTATTACTTACACAACAACTGGAGACATAAGGCTTTATTTATATATTTATCATAACATAAACAGTAATATTCTTTATACATGATAAAAATTTAGGACAATAACAATGAGATGCAAATTGCCTTTTTGTATTGATGGTTCCCATAGTTTTTTAAGAATCAATCCAGCAGTTGCAAAGAAATAGCAATATTGCTCTATAATGCATTCTACATAACTGATCAAATGCCATAACTCTGTGATGAAGGGTCTAACCTAAACAAAGCAAGGATATGCGCATCTCCTCTTGGTATAAATGGTTCCCATAAAGTTTAATTGAATTCCAGCCAGTTGTTGGAAAGAAATAGTTCGGAAACGATTATTGCTCTATATGCTTACTGCATAACTAATCAAAGGCCATAACTCTATGTTGAAGACTCAACCGGAACAAGTTCATGATATGCGCAATTTCATCTCAGCATTGATGGTTCCCATAAAGTGTCATTGAATTCCTGTCAGTAGTTACAGAGAAATAGGGCGTAAACCATTATTGCTCTATATGCAAACTGCAAACCTAATCAAGGGCCATAACTGTTCAAAGGTTAGACCAAAACAAGGCAATGATATGCTCATCTCATTTTTTTGTATTGATGGTTCCCATAAAGTTTCGCTGAATTCCAGCCAGTAGTCGAGAAGTAGAGCGGAAACAATTATTGCTCTATATGCATAACCAAGGGCCATATCTCTTGTGTTGAAGGGTCAGACTGCGCATTTCCTCTTGATATACCTTTTGTTGAATTCCAGCCAGTAGTTGCAAAAAAGAGGGCCATCATGGCCCTAAAGTCGCTCACCTGTATATAGGTCCCTCGAAGCGGGGCCAGTTTAAACCCAATGGCTTTTATTTGAACAAACTTGGTAGACACCCATTAGAAAATGTTTCATGCTAAACATCAAAGGTCTAGCTCGTTGGGTTAAATTTTTCAAAAGAAGATTTTTTCAGTTTTTTACTTACACATATATTTAAAAACAATGACACCCCTGGGGCAGGGTCAGTTTTGACCCCAGGGCTTTTATTTGAACAATCTTTGTAGACACTTACTAGAAGATGTTTCATGCTTATTATCTAAACTCTAGCTATATGGGTTTTTTCAAAGAAGATTTTTAAGTTTTTGCTATACACATATAAGGAAAATCAATGACCCCCTGGGGCGGGGCCAATTTTGACCCCAGGGCTTTTATTTGAACAAACTTGGTAGACATCCATAAGAAAATGTTTCATGCTAAATAGCTTAGCTCTAGCTCTTTGGGTTCTTTAAAAGAAGATTTTTAAGTTTTTACTATATGCATATTGGAAAAATCAATGACCTTTTGGGACGGGCCAATTTTGACCCAAGGGCTTTTATTTGAACAAACTTGGTAGACACCTATTAGAAGATGTTTCATGCTAAATATCTTAGCCCTAGCTCTTTGGGTTCTTCAAAAGAATATTTTTTTTAGTTTTTACTAAATACATATAGAGAAAATCAATGACCCCCTGGGGCGGGGCCAATTTTGACCCCAGGGCTTTTATTTGAACAAACTTGGTAGACACTCACTAGAAGATGTTTCATGCCAAATATCTAAGCTCAAGCTCTTTGGGTTTTTAGAAGAAGATATTTAAAGTTTTTTCTTTTGGTTGCCATGGCCATCAGAGTTCTGCATGGAATTAAATTCTTTGAACAATTTTTAAAAATGACCACCAAAGGAACATTCCTGTGAAGTTTGGATGAAATTGGCTTAGTGGTTAATGAGGAGATGTCATTTAAAGTAAAAGTTTACGGATGACGGACGATGGACAGACACCGGACGAAAAGCAATCACAAAAGCTCACCCTGTCACAAAGTGACAGGTGAGCTAAAAATAAACGGGAAACGAAATTCAGACAGACAGATGAAGGGACGGAAGGACACAAGAACAGATGGACAAGCCCAAAACAATATCCCCCTCCCTAATCCATCCGGGAGCCCTATATCACTCAACTGATTTCTAGAAAAAGTCAGTACTCTTAAATGCTAAAGTAGTTCATTAGGTGGGATCAATTTGGATCAAAAGGGCACTTAATCAATTTTATAGGTGTTTACTAGGCAATGCTAATATAATAGAAGATTTTTTTGTTGTTTTACTATATACATGGAAGGAAAATCAATGACTCCCCCCTCCTCCTCCCACCCCCAGCGGGGCCAATTTTTACCAAAGGGCTATAAATTTGAACAAACATAGAAGAGATCTACTTTTAGCTGAACAAACTTGGTAAACAGCCATTAAAAGATGTTTTATGCTAAATAGCTAAGCTTTAGCTTTTTGGGGTTTTTTTTAGAAATTTTTTTATTTCTTTTTGTTATCATGGCAACCAGACTTTTGCATGGAATTCAATTCTTTGAACATTTTTTAAAGGTGATCTCCCAAGGAACATTCCTGTGAAGTTTAGATGAAACTGATGGGCACAAAATTTCAATCACAAAAGCACACCTTGTCACTTTGAGACAAGTGAGAAGTGAGCTAAAAACAAGAGAATTTCATTAATTTGACCTTGACAGTCATAATATACAACATGTTTGTTAGGCAGCAAGTCTGCTTTGGTCCATATACATTGTATAAATCAAATCCTTACATAAATAACAAAATTAATTTAATCAAAAGTCAATAATTTGAACTTGATAGTCAAAGTCATTTAAAGCTCAAGTTCAACCTTTTTAGAAGGTCTCCTCCAAAAGGTTATTTTGTCAAGGTATGAAGATTATCCAATTATTAATTACCAAGTTACAGTCAATTATTAATGAAAATTCAATAAGTTGACCTTCAAGGTCAAGGTCATAATGAGCCAAGGTCAATTTGAGTTTGATATACATGAAGGTTTTATCCTAAAGAATGTTTGTCTAAATATGAAGTTAATCTATTCATTATTCTAACATGACCCGCATTTTTCAATATTGAATATAGAAGAACCAAAATTTTGGTTATTATGCAATAAAGTCACAGTTGACGTTCTATATTTAGATATGTGACGTAATGATTATACATGTGACGTAACTCTAAAACAATCTGGCACGCTGAAAATAAGTACAGAAACAAATCAGACGCAATTTTGCTTTAATATCAGGTACAGCAGTATTATCTACGTATTAGGCCATCCTTAAAAAAATGTTTGTTTGCAGTAACGCGACCGACTCACAAAATTGGCCCCTACTCAAAATTTTTTTTCATGGTCTGGGTAAAAAAATTATTTTTTTTTTGAATCAGAAAATTATGCCTTGTGCTTTGTTTTCGTTCTTTTAAAGGTTAATAGAAGAAATAAAATGTAGGTCTTATTAAATAAGAATTCAGTTAACAATTTATTAGTTTTTACCAGATTATCAAAGCATATATTTTCCAGCATTTTGAAATTCCATGTTTATTTGGGAGTACAGTTCAATAAAAAAAAAAAAATCGACCTACCTACCCACCTTGAAAATTCTGGGTCGGGTTACTGCAAACAAACATTTTTTTAAGGATGGCCTTACCTGCGTATCTATACATTTGTGTGGACGGATGTCCGACCCAATCAGGATTAAGGGCCATTTCTATAGTTATTTTCTTTTGTTTAATAGAGGGCCATGGCCCCTTATTCTATTGTTATGGAATGAAATTTATTGTTCTTTTTTGTTCTGTTTACAGTTAGATGGCCCCCTATCCCTATTCCGTAGTGCAGACAGACAGAGGGAAAACCTAAAGTCCCCTCCAGTTAAATCGGTAGGGGACTAATAAGCCTTTACCATCAGTATCTAGCCGAGTCCTCTTAACATCCTTGCAGTCTGACCAGGCCCTAAACTGTTTTGTATTTTGTTATTATAATCCCTTCAATTTCATATAGACTTATCCAAATTCAAAGCAGGTCATATCCATTACACAAATTCAGCAGGTTCGGATTAATGATTAAAAATTTAACAGATTATTTTTCTTAACAATTTAGCTAACAATATATGTACCTGCTACAATTGATTACAACATCCTCTGGCTGTATTCTTCTTTTCAACAAACCCTGTTTAGGATTATCACCTCTACCTCTAAACAGACCAGGAGACTCTGTCCTGAAGTTTCCAATCTTTTCCTTGTGACCATCCATTATGCAATATCCATACTCTTCTTGTATCCATGCCTTCTCTTCCTTCAACTTCTGTGAAAAATAAAAAAAAAATTCAGTTACATAAGTAATAGAAAGAGCATCGAAACACGAGGCTATTTGATTTGTACTAGGGAGCATTACCATAGTCCCTGTGTATAAATCAGATTGCAGAGTGTTTTGATGTTCTTTATCTTTTGTATCATAGTCAAACATAAAAACACGTTCCCTGTTGTCACAATATGAAACTCCAGAAAAAAGTAACCAATGAACGAGCATCTGAATATGATATTTATGTTGTTTACCCTTTCTCTTCCGTCACAATAAGTAAACCCCAGCAAAAATGAGTCAATCAATGGGCAAGCTCTGGAGTACGGGTAACTAATACCTGCACTCCATTTAAGGCACTGTACATGTATACGTATTACACATTTTCAACAGAAAGGTCCCCAAACTACGAAACAATATTATGATAACAAGAGATATGAAATATTGTACAATTTATATCTTCCGCTAACAGTCAAGGACAGCAAAATAAATTGACCATATTGTCACGGTTGTCCCAAAACCTGTAAGAATGAGTGAATTTTTTCCAAAATTTACTTTATAAAGATTAAACTGGCAAGTAAATAAACCATTCAGATGTAACTGACAAGTAAATCAAAATCAAATTTTGCTGCCTTGCCACTTAAATCTTACCATTCATGAATTGACACCCTTTTGTCAGCAAAATAAAATTTTCAAACATCTCCCTAAAGTCACATTTCTTAAACATCTTTTTATATCCCCTAAATATAAATGAAAAGAAAATTATTCTTATTCCAAACTTTATGTGAAATAGTAATAAAATTATATATTTTTTGTTGTTTTTGACATAGTCAAATTTTGTCAGCAAGCATGGATTCATTACTAACGTCCAGTTGGACAGGTGTTAAAAGCAATTTCACAAGAACTGTCGGAGGACAGTAACGCTCGACTATTCGGAAAGTTGTCACAAGTGTGTTTCATTGAGTATAATAATGCTTACCTATATGAATACATAAAATTGTCCAAAAAGGTACAAAGGCTTGTTATTAAAATGTTTTATTGAGTTAATCACTGCTTTATTATTATAAAATGCATAAAAATTGTTCAAAAAAAGGCACAAACCCTTCAGTAGTTATGGAGATATTTGCTTAACACAGAAATTTCTAAGTAGAAAAAGGGGCATAATTATGCAAAAAAGCAAATCAGAGTTATTGGACTTGTGCCGATCATGTTAGATAATCACAGAGAACAAGTGTGTGAAGTTTCAAGCCATTCCCTTCAGTAGTTATGGAGATACTAGCTTGCACGCAAAAACTTAACCAAAAATTTCTAAGTCTAAAGGGGCATAATTATGTAAAAAAGCACATCAGAGTTATTGGACTTGTGCCAATCATGTTAGATAATCACAGAGAACAAGTGTGTGAAGTTTCAAGCCATTCCCTTCAGTAGTTATGGAGATACCAGCTTGCACGCAAAAACTTAACCAAGAATTTCTAAGTCGAAAAAGGGGCATAATTATGCAAAAAAGCAAATCAGAGTTATGGGACTTGTGCCAATCATGTTAGATAATCACAGAGAACAAGTGTGTGAAGTTTCAATCCATTCCCTTCAATAGTTATGGAGATACCAGCATGCACACAAAAACTTAACCACAGGGACGCCTACGCCGACAAATGGGTGACTGCATTAGCTTGATTACTGTAACCCAATTTATATTCGCGAATACAAATTTTCGCATTTTGCCGAGGTCGGACATATTCACGAATATTAATTTCCGCGTTTTCTTGATTTCCGAAAAAAAATATTCGCGGATTGGAAAGTCCGATTGGGCAGTAAAATCCATTAGCCGACTATTAATCTTCAATAATTGAGGTCATTATTGGTGTCTTAAATGGGATTAACAATACGCTAGCCTTATATTGTATTGGTGAGTGAATTGTGATCACAATTTAGCAAAACATTTTCTCTATATATGTACATGTACGCATCGTTCGTCTTCATTTTATCTAGAAAAGTCTTTAAGAAACAAGTACAAATGTTGCTGCAATGCAGCAATTGAGAAGCTCCGCGCAAAAAAAATGTGCTCATTGCAGATACCTTACCAAATTATTCCTACGCACAGGTCATGTTACATTGTATATTCAGATTAAGTACTATTGTAGGTTTTTTCCGAATTTTTGTAAACCATTTTTGCATAATTATACTTATCTTATGCACTGTCCATAATTAAAAAGAGGGGAAAGATATTTAATATAAAAAATGCTTTCACTGATGCCTACCTGGTAAGGAAAGTAATTCCATTGAATACAAACAAAAATAGCATTTGTTGGCACTAAAATAGACTTTAAACTGGATTTTGCCATTCATGAAATGTGCATAAAACTTTGCAACAGAATGTTTTTGGTCTTTCGAAATGTAGCCCATTCAATGTAAATTTCTTATTGTAATCATTTTTATTTTTGTTTAAAATAGTCTTTAAAACATAGAACTGGAAGTGTACTTGCAAATGGCTCATCATATAACAATGTGAGCTTTGTTTTTATATGAATTTTGGCCTACTTTCACTTTGGACAGACTTTGTGAAACACACATGGCTGACAAATCACCTTAGTGAGGGTTCATCCGCTCGTAAGGCTACAAAACGCAGCTTTCGCTGTCGAGTACGGTCCTTTTACAAAGTGGTATGCTGTACCAATGACGCTAATGAAATGTAACGTTATATACTAAAGTTTAATTATTTCAAAACAACCAATATATCAACATGTTATTATTAAACATTTTATTTCATAAATATAAATTAAAAATAATTATCAAAAGCAAAATTGTTAAAATCTTTTGCCTGAAAACTTCTTTACATTGACAAATTCAATCACTAATAGTATACTTGATATGTTGTGTGTAAATGTAATTCAAAATGTAACAAATTATGATTTCATGTGCTACTAAAAAAGGGAAATAACAAATGTATAATCTAAGTGTCAAAAATCAGAACATTTATAGCTATTTATAGCTCTCGAATTTATGTACAGCAGAACTGCTTTTCGGTTCTCATTCATTAATATGACATGCTGCAAATCACCGACGGGGAAACCAATATAGAAATCGAAAGGAGTTCTTCAATGCGGATTTACTTTTAGCTGTAAATCGAAAGGATTTATTGCTCAAATCCGGGCCCATGGACAAAAAAATAGTAACACAAATAGCTCCGCGCCTGTGGGCGCGGAGCAATTAAATTTAAGCGTTTCATAAAATAAAAAAATACCTTCTCCAATCAGGGATCAAACCCACGCCGAGAAAATTATGTTATATGAGTCCGCAATCTAACCAATTGAGCTATACAGGCGGTAAAAATCGATACTAGTATGAAACCATCTTGTATTTCACTGTTTGTAATTATGTACACCCAATACCCTTTGTGATACTCGATAGGTTTATACCACCTTTATCTTAACAATTCACTCAAACAATTATTTTATAGGATCCAAAAAACAATAGCCTTTTGTGATGCTCGATAGTTTTCCCACTTTTGTCAAACATTTATTTTGAAATAAGTGCGAGTACTTTGTATGCATATACTTAGTATAGAAGTGTAAATATGAAGAAACTTAAAACTGACACATGCTCCGTATAGTACCCTATACTGAACGTGATTGACAATAGGCCTACTAGTATTTCATAAACTGTATTTATTTTGATTGTTATATTGACATAGAGTTCTTGTGGTATTTATAAAATAGTAGTAGTTTACTTAGTTTGTGTTTTTTTTTGTTTTTTTTTGCTTTATGGCAATATTCATAACAATTCATTACTTCCTGACAGGTGCCTGTAAAATTCGAATATATCCGGTCAAGTAGCTTTGCATAACCACGTCTAAAATAAAAATTTCTCTCCAATGTATTCGCGAAATCGTGCAGACTTATTCGCGAAAACAAATATTCGCGCTTCGTGGCCATCCGCGAATAAAGCGAATATTAATTGGTCGCGAATATTCGTTGGGTTACAGTACTCTGCGAATAGTCGAGCTAAAAACTAGAACTATCACTAAATGTGATTAATACCCGCAAGACTGCTTCGGAAATGAGGATCATGATCTCTGCTACATAACTATTTCACAGTCAAGTTTCATACAATGAATTTTCTTCATTCTTCATGCAGTTAAATGTATAATGTCCACAATGACAAATGAACACCAATGTCGATTTAGCATCCTAAATCTAAAACTTTTGTAGCAAGACAGGTGATAAAAATAATTTAAAAGAACACTATTTTGGTTGTCCCCCTGCAAATTCAAGCTCACTGTTATCTATCCCATTTATCCAGAGGAATTCCTATCCACTAAAACAAATCCCACATGCATATTTATTAACAAACTTGGAAGAGTAAAATGAACCAAACGTTCATGAACACAATTGTTACCTTTCTCCAATCTGAGAAGAAATTCTTATTGAAAACCTACTTTGAGGTATATTCATGTTGCATCATCTTCACATAAAAGTTTCCATCCCTTCTGCTTTCTCTGACAACCACATAGGCTCTTCTGAAACACCAGAAAACAACAATTATCATATCTGTTTTCAGACTGGTTGTGAATGAAATTATATATTACAACATTGAAGTTGTCCACATTTCCAACAGGTCTTTTCAATTTATTTACCTCACCGTGAAATCTTTTTTTTTCAATTTCACACTGAAATTATATTTTGAAAATTTCAAATTAAAATAATCAAACAAGAGGGCCCAGAGGACCTGAGAAAAAGGTCAAACGGTCAAAGTGGAGCCCTTTTTCACCCCAAAGCAAAATTTGAAAACAAGGGACAGCTTAATCTGCACAATTTTTGTACACTTATACCAAAAAATTTTTGTGTAAAATAATATCAAGATTGAATCAGTGGCTGAGATGTTGTTTAGATGTTGTTTTCTTATTTTAGCTCTGGCAGCCATTTTATTAAACAGTTCAGCCTGTCACTGTAAGAGGTGAACTAATAAAAAGATGACAGAAACAGAGAAGGAAAACAAACACTTGACCTGGCTGGGGATTGAACTGCCAACTTCGATCCCTTGGGGGTGGAGCCAATTTCAACCCCGGGGGTTTTA